GTTGTAAACATCGATCTCATGCAATAAAGGTCCGAAAAGAATTTTATGACTCCAACCTCCGCATGACAGATGCACATGGACTAACTATTACACCGTCAAAGATTATATGAGTAGCAGGTAAAAAGATGACATGCTAAGTGTGTAATTAAACATTAGCATGCCTACTATATATAACAGACAAAAAAATTGGTAGGCCACTCCAATCTCACCGACCTAGCTTCTGTCGGTGTCTTATCAAGTGATCCTTGGAGTAGGTAAGCCTAGGACTACACGATCAACTTGCACATGAGAATATCGTCTGCAACATATCATGACATTTTCTCTTGTCATTAAAAAAATCATTTAGAGCAACCTAAATAAATCAAAAGACTACAAGAACACCCAAATAACTAAGAGACTGTAAAAACTTAGGTATACTCAGTGTAACCAAGTCCCAAAATTCAGTGACATATTACTTGGATGAGTAGTATTATATCATAAATGTACTCCATGTCATATTACGTGTGCTTTTGAACACTCAAAAAAGAGAAATTGAGTTGCTCTTGTTTGGAACAAAAGCAAAAATGTTGAGTATTTGTTGCCCAATACTACCTGCGATAGCTACAACGGGTGCCTGGTGGACTGCTCTCATACTAACGATTTTGCAGTTCTCAATTGCTAGCGTCGGCAGACAACGGTACCGGAGGTTGCTGGCACAGAGCTGCAACTGACATGCGACGAAGCTTTTGACATGCGGTTGTCGGCGGCGTGTCCGACGAGGTAGTAAAGAAGATTAGAATCTCGGATGCACGAGGCTGCACCAACAAATGGATTTTTTTTGGAAAAGGGGGAGATCCCCGGCCACCAACAAATGGATACCTTGTCATTTTTAGCATGTTGAACCACGTCGTGAATGTCAACATTCACGAAATAGGTTTTCCCACTGATTTATAGAGAAAGCGCCAACATTGCCGCGTGAATCGGAGCACCTTTCTAGAAATTGTCCCTCCGATAGTTGGGCCCAACAACAGAATGTAGGAGGAGCAGCACTAGCGCATTATTCGTGGGGAGCCTACAATTTGAAGGATGCACAAAGAATGATCATGTAAAAGGTGTATGCATGCGTTATCCCGAGACCTACCATTCCCAAAAGATCTAAATACACTATATTTAGGTATCTCTTTTTAGCACCTTTGTATTTGCTTTGGCTCCCATGTAACTGCAACGATGCATAGACCATTTTATAGCTATGGACCCAACATTTCCTCTCTATGGCATGGTTGGGATCAATCTTAACCATGCTCAAATTTAATAAAGTTTGACTTAGAAAAACGTAGAACTTCAACTATTTTAGAGCGGGGAGGGGGGATATTGTTTAACATGTGGGTGGAGCCCAACAGCGGCAACATCGTCTTGATTGTAGATGGCTGGCCGGCCGGGAACTGTCGATCTAACATTTCATATGACAGATTAGGGTCCGATTAACAGGACATTTGGTGTACATTTAGGTTAAGTCCACACACCACATTGGAGCTCCTAGTATTTACTGTCTACCCTAGACGATGACCGATTTCACCGTAGCAAATGCAGGATGCCCTAATGGAACTAGTGGTTACAATCGTATGATTGGTCCATTTCAATCAACGAAACAAGTCATTAGTGGCTATAGCTGTTTCTGAAGAATCTTAGTGGGTAACTAAAGGCTAGCCACATGGGCTTGTTGGCAGGCACTCCGCAAACAATTGTTTTGGTTGATGGTCGAATGTAGCTCAGTAATCAAATTGAAGAGGTGGGTCTAAAATTTAGTGTCGACAGTGCATGAGAATTTTATAGCTCTACAGTATATACTGGCCATGGTTAACATTGGTCCCAATCATGTATGTCTAGAGGAAAGGCTGGATCCGGTGTCTATAAAATCGCCTATGCATCATTGTGATTACCTAGCTATGAGCAAAACCAAATGCATTGTGCTAAAAAGAGAAACCAATATAACTTTTTAAAAGCTTAGGAATGGCAGGTCTTGAGATGATGAACCCATATGCCATTATACATGATCGTTCTTCAATTTTTTAACATGCTTTCCAATCACCAATGGGGATGATGGACCATAGCCATGATGCAACAACTGCACAGTGACTGCCATTGTGTGACAAACAAATCAGCAATGACAAGCCTCTACCTTGTGTGTCAAATTTAGTCTTTATAGGAATAGTAAAACTTGTATTACAGATGGCAGATCAAAGCGTTAGTTAGCTAGATTATGTGAGAAGTGAAAAGTGAGCCAGATGGTACGTTCATGTTTTTTAGGGGCATTACAACGGTTGCCCATTGTTCAAAAGATATGCATGATTCCGCACCTGATCCTGCGCTGGCAACTCGATCATCTCATCTGTCTAGCCTGTTAATATGCTCTTATATTATACACTAGTTGCTTTGCACAGACTGTCGTTCAGGCCCATGATAATCATATTCTCTGGTTATCTCGTTTCACCCATGCATTATGGCACATGTTTGCATTGTTCCAAAAAAATCCCACATTCTCAGTTTACTTCTTTCGTTGATTTCATTGTTGTCTTTGCAAAGAAGAAGATATAATTCTAATTTTTGATAATTCTTTGGCTAAATATATCTTCACTATTCTGGAATTTGGGAAATTCTGTAGAAATTTTCCATTCTAGAAAATACTTTGGTGAAATTCAGCAAGAAAAGATGTGGGAAGTCAATCTGGAAAATTTTGGTACTTAACATTGTTTGGTTAATGCGATTATTTTTTACTATGAAGATATGCCTTGAGATTTCATTTTCTAGAAGCCATCACATATACATGAATTATATTTTATTTTTGTGATGTTTCCAAGGACGTACTTAATTATATGACCAACATCCAATTTTCCAAATTCTCATTTTTTTTATTGAGAGATTCAGCAGCTCATACTGCAATGTATCACTTCCATCAAGGAGACAAGTGAAGGAATAGCGCAGTCTAGCTGGTCGACTAATTTTTTCGGTAGAAAGGCTCAATGTAGAGGTAACTGTAATTTCACACGTGATTAATCAGCCTACCCACAGGTGTTAATCAGCGTGTATGCATCTCCTCTCTATATAGGACAAAAAAAATACGCGAGAGGAACTAACACATGTGCTAGTTGGATTTTCCGTATAATTAATCATTAAACCTATTAACATATGATTAGCAAACTATGTGAATGACTTAGAAAATAATAGGGTCATGACGCTTTCTGTAAGAGAGAAAAACTGTAGACAGATTTCAGAATCCCAAATCCAATGAAGAGAAATAATACAAGATCAAGAGTGCCAATTATTTGTTTGGGTTATCAGACAACGTTCTGATTTGTAGCATCAAAATTGCAGCACAACTATCAGAGAACATGCTTCATCCCAATAACACCACACAGTTTTCAAAGTGGACACACCAACTTCATTGCACTTTCCTGGCTTGTGATTACCTAGTAAGGAGCAAAAGCAAATGCGATGTGCTAAAAATAGAAACCAATATAACTTTTAAAACTCTTAGGAATGGCAGGTCTTGAGATGATGAACCCATATGCCATTATACATGACCGTTCTTCAATTCCCTAACATGCTTTCTGATCACCAATGGTGATGATGGACCATAGCCATGATACAACATCTCCACACTGACTGCCATGGCAAATGGCAAGGTGCAATGTCGCGTGTCAAATTCAGTCTGTATAGCAATAGTAGAACTTGTATTAGAGATGGCACAGCAAAGTGTTAGTTAGCTAGATTAGGTGAGAAGTGACAAGCGAGCCAGATGGTACGTTCATGTGTTTCAGGGGCATTACAAACGGTAGCCCATTGTTCAAAAGATTGAAGAAACAAGGCAATACTTGATTACACACCTGATCCTGGGCTGGCAACTCATCTCAACTGTCCAGCCTATAAATATACATTACTTGCTTCGCGCAGACCGTCGTTATCCAGGCCCAGGATCATCATATTTTATACTTCTCTCGTATCGCCTGTGCAGTCTGGGACATGTTTGCATTGTTTCAAAAAAAAAAAGAATCCTACATTCTCGCTTTGCTTCTTCTGTTCTTTTAGTTGCTTTCTTCGCAAAAACAGGAGAAGGTTTATATTCTAATTTTGGTTAATTCTTTTGCTAAATAGGTCTTCAGTATTCTGGAATCTTGCAAAATCTGTAGAGATTTTCCATTCTAGAAAATACTTCGGAGAATTTTCAGCAAGAAAACACATAGGAAGTAAATTTGTAAAATTGTGGTACTTAACATTGTCTGGTTAACGAGGTCATTTTACAAGGAAGATATGTCTCAAAATTTTGTTTTACTGGTAGCCATGTTGACATACGTGAGTTACAATCTTTTTTATGTTCCCTCAGACGTACTACTTAATTGTATGATCAGCCATCCAATTTTTCAACTGCTCAGTATTTTACATAACTACTCCCTCTGTATCAAAATATAAGACATTTTTTATACTCCCTTAGTATCAACAAATGTCTTATATTTTAATACGGAGGGAGTACAATGTAGCACTTACATTGAGGAGACTAATCAAGGAATAGCGCACTCTAGCTGATCGATGAATTTTCTTGGTAGAAAGAGTCAAATAAAGTGTCAACTGTAATTTGGCACGTGGTTAATCAGCCTACGCACAAGAGTTAATCAGCATGCATGCATCTCCTCTCTCTATAGGACAAAAAAGGGAGACAAATTAACACATGTGCTAGTTGGATTTTCTGTATAATCATTAAGCCAATTAACATATGATTAGCAAGGTGTGAGCCGAATCACTTTAGAATAATAGTCTCATGATGCTTCCTGTAACAGAGAAAAACTGTAGACAAATTTCAGAATCCCAAATCTAATAAGGAATAATACTGCAAGATCAAGAGCGCCACTTATTGGTTGGGTTATCAGACAACATTCTGATTGTGACATCAAAATTGCAGCACAGACATCAGACAACATGCTTCATCCCAATAACACCGCATGGTTTTCAAAGTGGACACGCCAACTTCATTGCACTTTCCTGGCTTCTGCTGGGTGCTTCGTAAGACCAAGACGGTACTTGTGAGGAAAGCTCAAAATCAACTTTCTCTGCATCATAAATTAACCATACGTGAAAAGAATGGAAATTAAATAGAGGAAACATGGCTAGTTAATTAGGATTCTACCATGTGAACTCACAGTAAATGTTAACAATGGCAATTAGCGGTTAGCAAGCTGCAAGCCATCTTTACAAAGATGCTTGTGTTAGTAACCTGGAATATCTGAAATGCCGTTATGTGTACATATGCCCGTCTAGCTGCTGTTATTTAGAAAATTGCTCACGGTATTTACTAGCAATTGAGACATCCAACAAATGTTTCTGATATAAGAACTTGTTAAATTTTAACCACGCATTTAAAATCTACCTATTTTCCTATTACTTCTTAAGCTTAGTTCTTTCAAATGTATTTAAGCCAGCTCAGTGCATCAGAAATCACAGAATGTGTAGCTTAATAGAATAACTAATAGCCAAGGGTCTGATCTATTTCATTTTCTTACAGAGTTCTACTATTAAGAACATTTCTCCATGGGATTAAATCGTAACAGGATCTTGACACTGGGCTATATTGTCGATCAGCTCACCAAAGTGTTTACAAATTTCCTACTAAGTATAACAAAATGATGTGGTTCATCTGCAAAACAAAATGATGTGGTTCATGTACATATCAGGCATCATTTATAGTTTTATACACACCAACCATCTAATAGCAAACTAACCCAATTACTCTTATCCAAACCATCACAGGGTTAGACAACAAAACATAGCCAAACTCTACAGTCACACAACGATATGCCCGAAGAAACACGATCATAGCCAACAACCATATCAAGCCGTCTGCAAAATTAAATCAAAGGAATGTGTGGAGGAAACACCAAAACAGGGAGAACACGCACAAGCTTGCAGGGGCCACCGAACTTCTTGCGCCGTGGCGGGCGGGTCTCGGGCACACTCTGGGGTTCGCCGTCGACTGCCTCCTCCAGCTTCGCCGCGTGCGTCTCCACCCCCTTGCCGACCCCGTTCAGGAACTCCACCACGCCTACCTTGGCTGCGCGCAGGAATTCAGCCGCGCTCGTGACAACGAACATGGAGAAAGGATCCAGAGGAACATAAGCGTACCTTGGTAGGGCTGGGCGCAGAAGGACCTCGCCGGAGCTCCGGCCCCGGGGTGGAGGAGGAGGCGGCGCACATGATGAGATGCACACGCGAGGGCCATGGGGGAGAATGAGGCTAGAAAGAAAAAAATTGCAAAGGGTAGGTGGGCTTATGACTTGGATGATCTATTTGGGCCGACAATAGAGGCTCATACAAAGGAGGCCTATGGTATAATCTCTGTGAAACAGTATGGGCATTCCTTTTTTTTCAATGAATGACCATGATTTTTACCTACCCACTGTTATATCCTCAAGTCTACATGATCGACAAGTCAAACAATGACATGCGAAGTGTGGAATCAAACATGAGCAAAGCCTACTGTACAGAAATTTCTCGGCAAGCCGCTCCAATTTTGTCGCGTCAGCTTCTTTCAGTTTCTTATTAGTGATCGTTGCAGTAAGCCTATGACTCTACTTCCTGCAAAAAAAAAAGAGTAAGCCTATGACTCTACTTCCTGCAAAAAAAAAAGAGTAAGCCTATGACTACACAACCAACTTGCACAAAGGAACAACATCTGCAACATATTATGACATTTTCTCTTGTCAATGGAAGTATCATTTGGACTGGCCTAAATAAACCAAAAGACCACAACAACTCCAAAATAAATAAGAGAGTGTAAAGACTACATTAGTGATCCCTCCCTAAATTATGTGATACTCCCTCCGTAAAGAAATATAAGAGGGTTTAGATCACTACACTAGTGATCTAAACACTCTTATATTTCTAACGTAGTGATCTAAACGCTCTTATATTCCTTTACGGAGGGAGTATAGTACTTAGATGAGCAAAGTAAATCATAAATGCACTGCAGGTCATACAACTCATGCTTTTGAACACTCAAAAAAGAGAAGTTGAGTTGCTCTTGTTTGGAAATTGGAACAGAAGAAACACTGTTGATTTTTCGTTGCCCACAAGGTCATACTACTCGCGGTGGCTACAACCAGTGCCTAGTGGACTGCTTTCCGACAAATGATTAGCCCGTTCGGAACTGCTAATAGCGGTAGACATCGGTACAGGAGGTTTGTCCACACTAGAGCCACAACAAAGACGCGAGGTAGCCTCTGGCACGTGCTTGGTGGTAGCGTGTTGATGTAGCAAAGCAGATTAGAATCTCAAGCGCACGAGGCTACACCAGCAAATGGTTGCATTGTCCTTTTTGAGCATGCCGAACCATCCGTGAGCAGCAACGTTCACGAAATAGGTTTTCACACCGGTTTATAGATGAAGTGCCAACATTGGCGCCAGAAATAGAGCACCTTTCTAGAAATTGTCCCTCCGATAGTTGGACCCAAAAAGAGAATGTAGGAGGACCAATAGCACCTTTGAGAGTAAGTATTTGGGACTGCCAACGCTAGAAGGGAGAATGAAATATGAGAACTTTTAGCCAATAATGGATAGACTTGGTAAGAGATGCAATGATTGGAATCAGAGATATATGTCTCATGTTGCAAACGAAGTGCTAGTTAAATCGGAGATCCTGAAAATAGTTCTTGTGCATACAAACAGGGCCTTTCAAAAGCATATAATAGGGTGGATTGGGGGTTCTTGGAGCAAGCAATGATCAAGTTGGGCTTCTCTCACCGGTGGGTACAATGGATAATGTCATGTGTCACCACCGTGAGATATTTTGTTAAATTCAATGGAGCCATCTTGGATTCGTTTGCATCGACGCGAGGGCTTCAGCATGGTGACCCCCTATCCTCTTTCTTATTTTTTTGGCTGATGGATTATCTACACTGCTGAGACAGGGAGTGGAATCACAGGTTGTCCAACCGGTCAAGATTTGCAGTAGAGCGCCGGCGATATCTCACTTGTTTGTTTGCTGATGATACCCTATTGTTCTTCAAAGCTAATGTTGAGCAGGCCAATTATGTGAAGGACATTATACACAGATACGCATGGGCTACGGCCAACTTATAAATCCACAAAAGTGTTCAATCCAGCTTGGTGACAACTGTCCTACGGCGGCACAGTCTGGGGTCAAACAAGTGTTGCAAGTTCGAACTGCAAATTTTGAAGGTAAATATCACGGATTACCCGCACTAGATGGACCCATGAACAAAGGGAAATTTCAAATGTTGCAGGCTAGTCTGACTAAGTGGATCATGCTATGGGGGGGGGGGGCATTTTGTCCCAGGCAGGGAAGGAAACTTTGGTAAAATCTGTCCTACAAGCTATACCTACCTATATGATGGGGGTGTTTAAATTACCTTGCTCTGTTTGTGATAATCTCACACAACTTGTGAGGAATTTCTGGTGGGGATCAAAGCAAGGACAGAGGAAAACTCATTGGTTGGCATGTGATAAAATTATTGAGCCAAAAGGAAAGGGTGGATTGAGCTTCCGTGACTTCCGCTTATTCAACCAAGCCCTCCTAGCGAGACAAGCTTGGCGTCTACTTACCAACCCAGTTTCGCTAGGCTCCAAGTGCTAAAAGCAAAATACTACCCATAATGGTTCCCTTGAGGACACTGTTTTTGCAGGGAACGCATCTCCGACATGGCATGCAATACAACATGGCTCAGCTGTCAACGCTCTCTTGCCTCTTCTGGATTACTGTGCATACTTGTTGCTGAGAAAATGCTTTTCTTTTTTTATTTTCCTTTGATTTTGTGACTTTGGTTCCTGGCTGGCAACGTTGATGTATGTACTTGCAAACACGCAAACCGTCACAGAAGCTTACTGAATTACTAGTATAGTTTAGATATCAGCAGATGCTTACGGTATAGATAGATGGTATACTTACAAGCCTACATGTTCTTGTCAATCTGTTATTTGAGCCAATGAGAGCTAGATATCGCACTCCTCGCCGGTCGGTCGACCGGCGTGCACCTGCCAACCAACGCCGGAGATATACCATGCTCTCTGTTTCTTCTAGGCCTAAACATATCGGAATTCATATAAAACCACCGGAGCCAAACGATGACACTGAATTTTGTATTGAGGTGATAAATTTTTTTGTAAACCATTAATTACAGAGTAATTTAATTTTGATTTTTGTGTCGCGGATTGACAGTCACCATACAACAAGAAAGTTTTAGAATTTGTTCACATAGGCAGCGTGATTGGGGGCATATATTTGTTGCTTCCCAAGGTAGTTAGTTCACCACACAGGCATGTTAGTACTAAACTGCACAAAACTGTTAAGTCATCCAATTCATGCCGCATTGCAAGATTAAATGAAAATCAAAGAAATGTACAAATCCCAGTCATGAGCGCTCTCCTCGATTCTTCTTCCCCAAATCCCTCACACGACACCACACTCCCTCCGTACCAGACTAGGGTTTCTCACCGGCGGCGGGATGGGCGGCGACGCGACGGAGATTGCCATCCTCGAGAGCCATGGGCCCCAGGAGATGGCCTCGCTGCCGATCCCCGACGAGCTCCTGCCTGAAATCTTCCTCCGCCTGCCCACCCCCGCCGACCTCGTCCGTACCTCCGCCGCCTGCGTCTCCTTCCGCGGCGTCGTCACCGACCGCCCCTTCCTCCGGAGGTACCGCAAGATCCACGCCCCGCCCCTCCTGGGCTTCCTCGACCTGAACGGAGTCTTCCACCCCGCCGAGCCGCCTCACCCCTTCACTTCGGCAGCAGAAGCCTTCGCCGACTTCAGCTTATCCTTCCTCCCTGCCCCAGCCAGCGACTGGGCCATTCAAGACATCCGCGACGGCCGCGTCCTACTTGGCAGGCGCGGCGTCTTCACGGAGTTTGTGGTATGTGATCCCTTGCACCGGCGGCACATCCTGCTTCCCCCAATCCCTGATGTCAACCAGTGGCTTCCTTCAGTGGACAACTCACATATCTTCCTCATGGGCGGCGATGAGGATGCTTCGGACGAAACATTTTTCAGAGTGATATATGTGGCAGTCAACCAACATAAGCAGGTCGCCTTGGTCTTCTCTTCCAGCACCGGACAATGGCGAGCCACTCCTCCATCAATAGTGCGATCACCTAACTCATACTGGCTCCAGTGTGCGTATGGCTGCTTGTATGGGTTGACAGAGAGAAATCAGAAGTTACAGGTGCTTGACACCCAGAGGATGGTGTTCTCACTCTTAGACCTCCCGCCTGAAGCCAGAGCCGGAGGTTCTTCTTATGTGCACATAGCCATTGTGGAGGCAGGGGAGGGCATCATTGGGATGTTTGTGCTACCACATAAGACATATGACCTCAGTTATTTCATTAAGAGAAACAACGGTGGAAGTTCCAGCCACTGGCAGTTGGAGAAGACAATCTCACTGGATTCTTCTCAGTACTCTCTAAACAAGCATTCAACAGGGAGGAAATTGTTCCTATACCATCGGGGAAGCCCATCGCTTGTTGCCGGCCTTTTCTCAATGGACGTCAAGACATTCCAGCTTCAGATGGTGTTTGCCTGCAAATATTATGGCATGCTTTACCCACGGGCATATTACAACTTTCCACCATTCTTGTCGACTCCAATAGTATCAAGTGGTAACCTTTCTGTTGCATCCTAGTTATTACCTTCTCATCATAATTATCACATGGGTTGTCTGTGGCTTTATAGTTCACTACTGTGCTCAGTAATTCTAGTCGTTTAGTAGTTGTCACCTCTTCTGTGTTGTGACCAAGCTAATAAAGCTCAGGAACACAATTTTGGTTTATTTGTTAGTATTTTGTAATTCCCACTCTAAGGTGATCACAGAAGTAAAAGAAAGGCTTGTGGACAGTACGACTAGCATTTTGGAAGCACCTAGAAATCGTAAGAAACACTAGATGGCGACAAATATTTTTGTTTTTATGGCCAAACTAATGCAGAAGGCATAGAAGTTCAAAGAACACTTTCTACCACAGTTCACCTTTTGTTTGTTTCACCTTATCCCAGACTTATCTTGTCCACCTTTATGATTTATGTCATTTATCTCTTTATGTTTACATGCCTTTTCTGGCTAAGTATTCCAACTTGTATTGCAAATGGCAATGAGCATTCAACACCATAAAGCGAGCATTTGTTGTTATATATCTCAAATTCCATTGAAGTTAATATTATACCTACGTGACTATGGCTAGAAATAGTCCTGAAGGTTGACTCTCCAATCTCTATGTATTGCGTCTGTTTTCTTTTAGCCCCTGGCACTTTATGCTGCTTCCTGTGTACTTTTTAGTAAGCAATTTATGAAGTGTTGCCCGACGGCAAGATCTATTGATTGTTTTGATCGCAAGCTGCTGAATATTTACGATCCGAGTATGCATATATTGGGCAGGTACTCAGGAACAAGGTGTGGAGACGCCACAAGCTGAAGAAGAGCCCATAGATAGCCCTCAGTACGAGAGCACTGTTAATGAGGCAAATGTTGGAAGTCCTGCCGATGTATCGAGGACTGGAGATGGTTCTGATTGACGTTGTGCTATGACTGGACAGTTGACCACAGTTTGGTCATCAATAGGGTATGTGTGGCTCTTTCTTGTCTGTAATGTTATGCCATCTAGAATTAACATTGAGTTTATCTTGCGTGGCTTGATTTGACAATGATTGTGCGTTGTCAGATAAGGTAGCAAGAGCAGTAATGACCTTTAATTTCTGGCACAATCAGTTGGTTAATTGGACCATGTAAGAATCAGATTGCTTCTGATCTTGCTGTATATATGTCTGCCCATCACTGTAGCTGCTATTGTGAGTCATTGGAATGACAGGAACTAGTCAGTTATTAGCAAATTGAGGAGCAGTAAAGATCTCTCTTTACTACTCTTTGTTTACACAGAGAAGTCACTTTCAGTTTTGTTTCTGCTTTGTCAAAAATAATTGGTGGCCAGGTAACATCCGATGAGATCCACGCAAACAAAACAAAATTTCTGCTCAACAGTGCGCAAAAGGTTGAGCACTAATTTTGTTATGTTTTCTATGGAGCTCCTCGGACATCGTTTGGCCAACAAATTTTGCAAGAACCTAAAATATTTGGTCATGATCGAAGCCACAAAGTTTTAGTTTTTTTTGAGTTTATTTACTATTTTTTGGATTTTACTGTTTATCATGGGTGCAATGCACCCGGGTGTAGCAAACCACTCTCTGGATGTCAAGACATTCCAGCTTGAGAGGCTGTTTGGTTCAGAGCTTAACATGCTTTGCCGGTGGGCATATAACAACTCTCCACCATTGTTGTCAACTCCAGCAGTATCACCTTTCTGTTTCAACCTAGTTATTTCCTTCCTATATACTCCCTCCGTTCACAAATATTAAGATGTTTTGGATATTTCAATTTGGACTACATATGGACTAAAATGAGTGAGCAAACACACTAAAACTTGTCTATATACATCCGATTCAGGAAAAAATTAGAACATCTTATATTTGTGAACGGAGAGAGTAGTTTTCACACAGGTTGTCAGTTTGATTGATAGTTCGCTACTCTGATTGTAATTCTTGTTTGTCCCCTCTTCTGTGTTGTGCCAAGCTAGTGATGCTCAGAAACATAATTGTGGTTTATTTGTTAGTCCGTTATAATTGCCACTTTAAGGTGATGAGAGAACTAAAAAAAGGTTTGTGCACAGTATGAGTAGCATTTTGGAGGCATTTTGAGATCATAAGGAACACTGCTACCTGTTCACGTTTGGTTTGTTTCATCTTAGAAACTTTTATTTCAGTCAAGTGGGACTTGTCTCGTCCATATTTCTTTTGATGGATGTAAGAGCAGGAGGGAAAGTGATGTTGGTAAGCACGGGGGCAAAGTGTTATATGGTAAAATTTCACTTCCTGCAAGACGAAGCTACCATTTCTTTTTTGGCTCTCAGGTTCTTTTATGATTCACCTCCTTTTGTTTCCGAGTCTTGTCTCGATGTATTCCAACTTGTAATGCGAATGAGAATGAGAATTAGCATAAGCCGAGTGTTTGCTGCTGTATACATATCTTAAGTTCCATTGTTGTCGGTATTGATATCTAGGGGACTATGGGACGACTATGAGTTAGAGGTAGTTCCTGAAGGTTGACTCTCCGATCTTCATGTATATCATGTAGTTTCTTTATTCCTGGTATTTGCTTCTTCTCGTGCTGCTTTTGTAAGCAATTTACCAAGTGTTGCCTAATGGTATAGCCTAAGGATTACTTTGCTGGTATGCTGCTGAATATCTATGATCTGAGTATGCATATGTTGGGCAGGTACTCAGGAACAAGGTGAGGAGCTGATAGATAGCTGTCATGATGAGAGAAGTGATGATGCCGTGGATGTTGGAGGTCATGCTGGTGTATGGAGGGCTGGAGATGGTGCTGATTGAGATTATGCTGCAACTGGTCAGTTTGATCGCCAATAGAGTGCTTGTGACTATGTCTGTCCTTAATATGGTCATTTAAAATTAACGTGGAGTTTATCTTGTGTGGCTTGGTCGGACCATGATCGGTGCATCTGTCGGACAGGGTAACAGACAATTAGTTTCTCAGTAATTAATTATGACTGTGAGAGTGATTGTGATCTTGTTGTATGCCTGCTCCATGTGGCATGAATGGAACTGTTTATGCTACTTGCTTGTTGTGTAGCCAAGGTGATCTGATTATGCTGCTATTTTTCTTACACGGTGAAGATATTCTAGTTCTGTTTGTGCTGTGTCAATTTGAGCCAAGGTCGTTCAGAGGCCCAACGTATTTCAGTGTGCGTCCTCTGTATCTAAACGAGGCAACATGACTTGGAGAACACAACCTTGCTGAGTGCTGAGTTCGAGCAAATTGAGTGTATGTACTCCCTCCGTTCCAAATTACTCGTCGCTGAAATTGATGTATCTAGAACTAAAATACATCTAGATACATCCATACGTGCGACAAGTAATTCGGAACGGAGGGAGTATATGTGAACTCCTTCATTTTCTTAGGAAGGAGTGATGGCAAGAACGTCGGCTGGACACTTGGGCTATTGCGGATGTAAGTGTGGGGTATTTATTTTACTGCCTCCAACAGAGTAGAGAAGTCCAATACTTGAAACTATTCTGTGGTAGTACAGCAAAGAGATTTACCTTTCACAAGATAAAAAAACACAGTCATATGGTTGATAATGCATTCAACTCTTTTTTTGAGGGAATAATGCATTCAACTCTAAGGCCATTGAGTGGTTGAACCGTGTTCCTATATATGTCAGAAGCTATTGACCAAAAGACTAGTAGTTTTCTCAATTTCATCCAAACACGACGAATCATTGGATGTGACTGAATATATGGAGTATTAGAGTATATCTTCGGTTTGTATATTTGGTAGTTCAAATTGTACTCTATCTCTATTAGTCTAGTCTTGGAGCCCAAGCTTTGTAATCTATATAAACAGCCCTTGAGGCCCCGATCAATACAACAATTACTTCTCCAATATCTCAATCTATCATGGTATCTGACGCCTAGGTTTTCCGCACCTGGTATGGCTCCGCCACCTGCGCCGCCGCCCCGGCCGATTCAGCCCCTCTTCTCCATGGCCGACTTCCGCGCCGCCGGTGCCCCACCCCCTACCTCCACCTCTACAACTACTCAAACACCTCCCCCTCCAATCCCTATGTTCTCCCTAGCCGACACCATTGCCGACGTCTCTCCCTTCATACCAATCTCATTAGACCTCGGCATCCACAACTACAAGGGCAAGAATCCCGTCTACCGGCCTCCTGCATCTCCTCCTGCCGGACCTGCACCAGCCTCGTCATCCACCGCTCCCGCGCCACCAGCTCCGTCGCCATGGCCTCCTCATCATGATCCTTGGACTGGCCTCGTCCAGGCTTGGTCGATGCCATGGTCGGCCCCCTCGCCGTATGGTGCTCCTCCTGCGTACACGGGCACGTGGAGCCCCGGTCTTCGTCCAGCCACAGGCTCTCCGGGACTCCTTGGACCCAGGCCGCCGGCGCACGTCTACACCGCCACTCCTACTCCGCCTACCAGCACGCCAGGACCACCGTCGCCCTACAACACCATGCTGGCCTTCTACGGCAACATGCAGGCCCCAATCGCATACTACCCATCCGCTATCCCCTACGTCAACATGCAAGCTCCTGGCCCCTCTGCTCCTCCCCAACAGCCGGCTTGGGACCAAGCCGCCTTCATCAACGCCATGAACAATTTTGTCCTCAACGACGCAGGTACGGATTGGATTTTCGATTCTGGTGCATCAATGCATATGTCTTCAAATATGAATTTATTGTCAGCTTGTTTTCCTTCTGCTTTTTCCACTATCACCATTGGCGATGGCTCCACCATCCCTGTTTCATGCACTGGTCACTCTTACATCCCTTCCTCTCATGCCAATTTTCTTCTACGCAATATTCTTGTGGTTCCTTCCATCATCAAAAATCTTATCTCTGTTAGACAATTTTGCATTGACAACAAAGTTATCCTGGCCTTTGACCCTTTTGGTTTGTCTGTGAAAGATCTGACAACGGGGGCGGTCCTCGCTGTTGGAAATATGCCCTAGAGGCAATAATAAAAGTATTATTATTATATTTCCTTGTTCATGATAATTGTCTTTTATTCATGCTATAATTGTATTATCCGGAAATCGTAATACACGTGTGAATACATAGACCACAATATGTCCCTAGTGAGCCTCTAGTTGACTAGCTCGTTGTGATCAACAGATAGTCATGGTTTCCTGGCTATGGACATTGGATGTCGTTGATAACGGGATCACATCATTAGGAGAATGATGTGATGGACAAGACCCAATCCTAAGCTTAGCACAAAGATCGTGTAGTTCGTTTGCTAGAGCTTTGCCAATGTCAAGTATCTCTTCCTTTGACCATGAGATCGTGTAACTCCTGGATACCGTAGGAGTGCCTTGGGTGTATCAAACGTCACAACGTAACTGGGTGACTATAAAGGTACACTACAGGTATCTCCGAAAGTATCTATTGTTTTATGCGGATCGAGATTGGGATTTGTCACTCCGTGTAAACGGAGAGGTATCTCTGGGCCCACTCGGTAGGACATCATCATATGCGCAATGTGACCAAGGAGTTGATCACGGGATGATGTGTTACGGAACGAGTAAAGTGACTTGCCGGTAACGAGGTTGAACAAGGTATCGGTATACCGACGATCGAATCTCGGGCAAGTAAAATACCGCTAGACAAAGGGAATTGTATACGGGATCGATTGAGTCCTTGACATCGTGGTTCATCCGATGAGATCATCGTGGAACATGTGGGAGCCAACATGGGTATCCAGATCCCGCTGTTGGTTATTGACCGGAGAACGTCTCGGTCATGTCTGCATGTCTCCCGAACCCGTAGGGTCTACACACTTAAGGTTCGATGACGCTAGGGTTATAAAGGAAGCTTGTATGTGGTTACCGAATGTTGTTCGGAGTCCCGGATGAGATCCCGGACGTCACGAGGAGTTCCGGAATGGTCCGGAGGTAAAGATTTATATATAGGAAGTCCTGTTTC